ATTATACCTGACTTTGTACAAGTGTACAAAGTGTGCAAGTGTGCGTAGAAGAATTGATGCTGTTTTGAAGGCAAAGGGTGGTCACACCAAATATTGATTTGATTTGGGTTTCTCTTCTGTGTGCTCACTTTGTATTTTGTAAATTGATAAACATAAACAATTACAATATATTTTTGAAAGTATTCTTACGTTACAGCATTTTTTCACACCTGCCTAAAACTTTTGCACAGTACTGTATATTGGGGTCATGACCTTTAAAAAGCATTCATTAAACTCCTTGTTCTACAATATGCTGAACCCCCTAGAAACTGCCTCTTAAACTATAACTTCTTGTAGCAAGAGAGTACCGGCAAGGCTTACTTGAATCACTACCCCTTCCCACACTGGTGAGGAAGATAACATTAGGTGTAGCATGACCACTGTAGCAGTCAGTGTTTGGGCAAGAGTTTCTGTGCTGCCAGGCCTTGGCAACAAGTCTTGTAATGGAGAGCTTAGTCGTGTCAAAACTTGTTCTTTGTCCCTGTTCTTTTCTTGAAGGACTAAGTAGGTAAAAATGCATTAATTCATTGGATTTAGGTGTTTCCACAGCATGACTCTGTGAATGGAATTAGTGTAACACTTTGCATTACTGAATCTGTGTTGAGCTAAATTTAACACCTTGTGGATTACCGACTGGTTCAAGTGACCCCTTTTTAGTATACCCACACCATATTAACCTCCCCTTTCTATGTTAAGCTTGTTGTGGGAACAAGGCCTACAAACAAATGCATGCAGAAACGTGTGCATTACAAAACAGTATTTGACATTTTATATTTTTTAAAAATTTAATTGAATGAAGTAATATATCAACATCACTGATATGAACTTGTTTTATTTATTAAAGTCAGCACAGTCTGCAGGGGGGAGAGAGGGTCAGATTGACATTAGCAAGGATAATAACGAGCCATTTATTCCCAGATTAAGAAAGCTTTGTGCAGAAAGAGTTGCCAGACAATAAAGGACCCAGTGAAATATTTGGGACTGTATTTCATAGGCAGCAGCGAAGGTGTATTTTAAAATAATTGCACCAAATTATGGAGAGAAATTGTAAAAGATCTCAAAAAGTAGAAAAATTTTAAACTCTCCTGATTAGAATCCATTGCAACTGTTAAAATGAATATATTACTTAAGGTAATTTTTTAGGTGCCAATTCCAATCCCAGAAAAATCTTGCAAGATTGGAAAAGAACAGTTAATAAATTTATTTGGAAAGGGGAAAAAAAGAGTAAAATAAAAAATGTTACAAGATTCAAAAGGAGGGGTTGACTTGTTCTTCTAAATTTTAAATTATATTACTGTGCAAGTTGTTTGTCATGGATAATTGAGCGGATAAAATCCCCAAAAAGCAGAATGTCAATATTAGAAGGTGTTGGCCTGACTAATGCACTGTACAGGTATTTATGGTATGAATGAAAAGAAGAGAAAAACTTTAAAGGACACATTAGAGCTGGATAGAATTGTGGTGGAATTCTACATGGAATTCTACAAAAATAATAGTAAGCCTAGCAATCTCACCTGTAGCCTCACTTGCAAATGCTTTTTATTCTGGAGATAATTATTGCAAGAAAAGTGTAATTATATATACAGATATGGTACTTATCCAGATTCCAGAAACAGATTAAAGACACAGCAAGAATTATCTGGTGAATTATCTGTATTTGCAGGCTGCTGGAAGAATAAAAAGTGATCTTAAGAAAGAAGGAGGGTTTTTGACAGAATTTGAAACACTGATACAGAACCAAGACCACTTATAGGATGTTATATGAATTGCAATTAAAATATGACATGGAGACAGAGCTAGTAAAAAATTGAATAAAATATAGTAGATGCAAAAATTTAAAGAAACAATTACAACAATGTGAGAACTTATGAATAAATCAAAAAATTACCCTATATTATAATTTACGAGAAAATTGGTACACAGTGTTTTATAGGTGGTAGCGAACTCCAATAATTGGAAAAATAGATGAACCATATAATAAAAAATGCTGGAAGTGTGATACCGTAGGAACATTTTATATGTAGTAGCATGTAAAAAAAATTCAAAAGTACTGGAAAGAAATACACAGCATAATTTTAAAAAATGTAAAAACAAAGTTTGAATTGAAACCTCCATTTTTCCTACAAGGAATTTTTCCAGAACAAATTTAAAAAATACAATTTATATATGTTGATGGCCATGAGGACAAATTTGGCTCAACATTGGAATTGGGAAACCAGATTGGGAAATCAAACCTGGAAAATAAGCAGCAATGGAAAAATGAACAGTATATATTCAGAAGTTTGGCTAAGCAAGACTAACTCCCCTATATATAATACTTCACACAACAAGGCAAACTGAGACACTTAGAGTAAGGTTTTTAAGGGGGAAATAATTGACATAAAGTAATTAGAAACAATTTTAATGTTTAAAAATATGCTGATGTAATAGTCAGGCACAATGGGAGGGAATTGAAAACTATGTTGTTTCCCAATATTGTTTTTACCAATTTTTCTTTTCTTTTTTCCTTTAATTCTTCTTTTTTTTCCTTTTTTGTTCGTTTCCCTTTTATGTGCATCTATTTTTGGAACAATGGCATATAGTGTTGATAACAATATTAATATCTTGTTTATAGTTTTATAGACACTTCTAGTTATTTCTCAAGATGACATAATAAAGTTAGAACCCTATAATTAGTTAATCAAGTAATGAAGTAATGGAATAATGAATATTACATTTTAAAATAATTGTAAACTCTTTGTTTAATTACTGATATTTTATTCTTATTCACTATGTATCTTTTGAGCTTCTTTTCTTCTTTTACGTAGCTATTTATTCTGTTCCTTTAAATGTTTTAACAAATAGATTATAACCCCCCCAAAAAGGAAAAACAAAAAAGACTGACATTAGCAGCATTGCAATGTGCTATGTGTGTCATGGTGTCACAGGCACACCCAAAAGGGGTAGAGCTTGTGACACAATGTAACCACTCATCACTAATTAAGCTCCTATTATGGTACTGAAATGTGATACATACATCTCTGAAAGAGTGAAGGAAAAATTGGTTAAAATCACTTTCCCTTGTTCCCACCTATATATGAACAATCTACTATGCATTGCAGCACTAGTTAAAAGAAAACACATTAGTTACAGATTAGAAACAGTAATATTGCTCTTCTAATTTGACATTTTTCCTTACTAGAGAAAATAAAATCTTACCTCTTTAAATATTATGTTTCTTCTTTGATCACTCTTTTTTATTTTTTCAGAAACTCTATTGTTTCCCTATTCCAAGAAAAATTCCAGATAAATGTATTACAGAACTTTTCAAAATATTTAATTTTAAAAAAAGGAAAAATGGAACTTTTTATTTCTTATCTGTCCAGCTGTTAATTACATGATTCTTTCAAAAGCCAGTATTTACATTAATTCTGACCTTTTCCAACCTGGTGTCATCTGTTCAACTCTCATCAACCCTAGCCTTGTAATCTGACAATTATTTATCATACTCATTCCTAGTCTTGTATCTAAAGAAGAAAAAAATATACCTTGGTAGTAGGCACAATATGAAGAATTGGATTACTGCATTCATGAGAGTCACAAAGATGGATTTTATACGTGGAACAAAAGTTACTAGATGTAAAATTCACTTCTAATTCCAATTCCCTGTTACATATTGTTATATCTGGATCCCACAAGCTTCCTGTGAAATGAAACAAATCCAGATTAAAAACATGACTGAAGTTTTAATCATTTTACTTTAAATTATACATTGCTTTGCAGATCCTGGACAGAAAGTTGGAAATAATTATAGAAATGATTAACAAATGCCCCCAACCCACTGCTCCTTCAACACTGGCATTGTTTTTTATTACTTAACTCTATTTCAACATTTTCCCAAGGAGATTAAGACAATATGGCACTTTCTTGCTCTCCTAATAGTTTTTTTTAAATATTTAATTTAATTACTTTTTGTTTTTATGTTCCAAAGTTATCCAGAGAATATGGCACTTTCTTGCTCTCCTAATAGTTTTTTTTAAATATTTAATTTAATTACTTTTTGTTTTTATGTTCCAAAGTTATCCAGAGAATATGGCACTTTCTTGCTCTCCTAATAGTTTTTTTTAAATATTTAATTTAATTACTTTTTGTTTTTATGTTCCAAAGTTATCCAGAGACTACTAAACTAGTAATTCCTTTATCTGAGGACCTACCTTTGCAAGTAATTTTTAGGCAACTTTTAAGTGACAGTTGCTGTATGAAAGGTAAATCTGACATTTTAGACTAACCCCTAAAGATAAGAGTTTATAAAATAAGTCAGAACTACATTATATAAGATAACCAGGAGCTCTGACTAGGTGAAAGCCAATGTAAATGGCCAAAAGCCCAACCTGGTGCCTGCCACATGTGTTAGGAGGACAGCCCCAGAGTTCCTGTTGTAACCTGCCCAGAGTCTTTTCAGCTGGGTACGCCATAAAACTGCTAAATAAATGCTTAAATAAATGCTTAAATAAATAAATAAATTCCTCAACCAGCTATAACCAGAGACTGTGTATTGGTAACCAGGTGCACAGCAGCAAATAGGAGAAAAAAGGAGTGAAATTTTTTAAAAAATAGTAAGTTCTATTTGAAATCTTACAAGGCGAGAATATTACATGCTAATGCTATAACAATCAGAAAAGAGCTGAATAGAAAGCCATGATCATAACACAATGGGATGCACTATTTCTTGGGATAGATCCCAGTTCTAGCAGGTTACAAAGCGGCTCTGCGTACTGAAAACTCAAAAAATGCGTGCAGGGTTGTTAATTAAGACCAGGCAGGAAAAGGAACATAACCAAATGCTCTTCTGTAGTTAACCAAAAATATTCATCTTTTTGGCGCCACTGGATTTATGGGTCATTGCTTGTGGTCATTGTCACCATTGCATTTAATATCTTGAAATACTCTTTATAATAACTTTTTAAATGTCCCTTAGTGTAATGAATTAATGAAAATAACTGTACTCACCTTTTTCTTTTTTATATAATTTCTATTAAAGATTTTTTAAAAGGAAGATAAA